TTTTAAATGCAAAAGTTCTCTCTGATTGCCAACTTTAAAAAAAGGAAAACACCCCAGTAAGGCTTTCTGTTTCAGGGAAATTAAACCCCATCAGTGGCTTTTAAGTGACTGCTCTTCATCCAAATTCAGTGAAAGATGTCCTTGCTCACTTTTAATAACTGGTGAACTTCAAACTACCTGATTTTTTTTTTGAGTCTATAGAATTAATATGGAGTAACTTGATATTTTACTGCCCACATGATACCAACTTCTTTTTACAGTGTGAGGTAGTTTAGAGTGATTCAGCCTTAATTAAAAGAAAAGTAGGATATTTAAGCCATTTTTATTAGATGTAAGATACATAAGCAGAATTGATAGGGAAACTGCTGGTGAGCTCATCTGAAATAACTGCTGGATGCTCACTGTTTTTCTCTGATAAATAATGAGGCTGATTCATATCTGATGAGGACTGGCTCTTTCTGGTTACCTTACTCTTATCACTGATCACAAACAAACATGTGATTATTTTGCAGGATATCTGTATTTGTTCATCCTTTTATGCACCCACCCTCCCAGTCCAGGTGTTATGTCAATTTTCATCATGTCCCACCCAAAACTAATGGGATGGCTCCAGCTCTTTCCCCTTCCTCTTCCTGCTAAACTCCTCATTTAAATTCACCAAGCAAGAACTCCTTGATAAACTCACAATCTTACCTACACTGTCTTGTATCTTTAATAGAATACAGGAATCCTTCTCTGGATATCACAGTTGAGCCTATTATGTTGAGACTAGGACTTGGAGACAAATAGGACTTGGAAAATAACTGGGAACTGAATCCAGCTAAAGTGTATGTTTGGAGTGTGTTTTACCTAGTAATTCAATATTTTTAGATGGTGTTAAAGGCACGTGGCTGCTACTCTGTATGACACTGCATATCTGTCTGGTTCAGAAGTTTAAGACTCTGGCAAATTTTCTGATAATACAGCTGATTTTATCTGTAGGGCTCTAAATCAAATCTGAACATGATAAGGAGCTGCCTTGGATAAGGGATTTTTTAAAATTCTGCTCAATCTAATCCTACAGGAAAAAGTGTGACAAATCTATTAACATAAAAAAGAAGTTTAAAAAATGCAAGCTCACAGCCTAAATGGATAGTAGGTAAATGAGCTGATCAGCTTCTGAGCAGAAGTAAACAGAACAAATGGACATTTATTCTAGAATAGGAAATGAATATATAGATTTGTTTTATTGTCATTCCCTTGCTAACAAGAGGCAGAGAGGAATGCTAGAAAAATAAAGCAGCCCTAGAGTTAGAAGCCTAATTTTTTTTATCCAAATAAGAAACATCATTAAGAGCAACTCTACTGAACAAAAGTAGCTCCCACAAAAAGGCAAGGCCATCAGCAAGAGTTAAGTATATGTAAATGGCATTTACTTCACTCAGAGCAGTGTACTCTCAGCACCTCAGAGGATTCATTCCAATACAATACTGCAAGTGATTATGAAGCAAATATGCATTACCTTAAATAAACCAAAGCAAGAGACAAAGCAAATTATTTTCAAGTGCTTTTACTCTGTAATTTCATTAAAGGAGGTTGTTTATTCTCAGAGGGGAACTAGAAATTGAATATTGAAATCTAAAATTACAGAAACATATATCTGTTTATGAACCAAGGTCAAAGAAAGTTTTATTAGGACCAAGGCTATCATCTACATAGTTAGAATTATTTCTAAAATATTTTTTAATTTTTGATATTAATTTCTTTTTGCTTTTATCTAACATCCTCCTCACCACTTTTGCTTATTTTCTTCTCTGCAATCTTTTTTTGGGTTTCCAGGGCTCCTCACTGAAGAACTGGTATCAGGGTTTTTCTTTATTTTACTTTTCAAAACTCCATTGGAATTAAGAGTCTCACCTTGGAAAATAAAGGGCCAAGTCAAAAGACAGTCTAAATTGTCCTTGCATGCTTAATATTAATGTGGAATTAGCTGATGTGTGCAAACTCCCAATTGCCAGGTCTTACTTAACTGGTAAAAATAATTCTGCTATCTGCATGGAGGGAGTCTGATGGGAAAGATCAAAGGAGAAAAAGGAGCAGAGGGAAAAAAGGAATGAGAGGAAGAAAAGGGAAAACAACACTGGGTTCTTTACTGAAATAATTCACAACTCAGGACTGTGACATTTTCTTACTTTTTGATCTGTTTTCCTATTTGCAGCAAAGTCACTGATGCCAAAAAGGACCCTTCATATGCTATGCTAGAATCATACCAATCTACAGAGGAAAAAGCAAACAAGATCTGCTTTATGCTTATTTTCAGAGGTAAACCATACTGAACTACTGAATCTTGGGGAAAAGAAAGAAATAGAAGTTTCATCAAAAGACATAAGGCACATTAAATGTTATGTACACAGTATTTTTGAAGTTGTTGCAACATATTTTTCTCTAACAAAACTGTAAGAACTGTGGGGTGGCTTTCATCTGTCTTTTAGCTTTTAATTGGTTTTATGTCTCTTTCCTTTATAAATAAATATGCATACACCCACACAAAAATTCAAACATACATATGCATACATTCATTTCATTTATAAATATTGATTAATATTCTTAATAATGAAAAAAATTAAGCAGAGATCCTACTCCCCATAATAGTTCTGAATTGCAAGTCATCTTTTGGATCACTCTGAATTGTCTCGTGGTTCTTTGTAAACACAGTAGTAAATTACAGTATTGTAATAATTGTCATGGTGCTTGATATTTACATCAAAACACTTCAATATAGCACAATAACAGAAACTTAAACTTCTGTACTCATAGGTTGGGAAGCTTGAGTTCTGGATTTCTATAGTACTTCTAATATTGTACTGTATGCAAGTTGCCAAATAATGGTATTTCATTTTAGTGTAAATAAAATACTGTTTATTTGTAATTGGCTATCCAAGAGAGAATGAAGAAGAAGATGGAAGCAGAAGCAGCAAGTAGACAAGCAGATGTGGATGTGCACTTGGATACCAGACCTCTGGATAGCAAAGGAGCATACAGTACCCAGCACCCTGAAGATCAACAGCTCAGAAAACACTGTCAGGAAAGCTCTGCACTGACTGGGGCATGGCAGATCACAAGATAATGCTCTCACAAAGGGATGCTCAGCAGTTCAACTCACTATACCTCCTCCTGCTCAGAGCACCAGCAGAAGAAGCAAGCTGGGCAATCTTCAAATTTTCGGTAGGTCAGTTTTACCGAGTCTTTGGAACAGACCCAAATAATTTCCATGGTTGAAGCTCATTTTGCCTTTGAGACTGACTGTGAAAACCCCACCAAACAGAAACACAATGGTGATGGAGCCTGGGAAGCAGCGGATGCCAACAATGCCAGACTGGAATGATGAACTCAAGCAGTTTGGCCACTTATAATTCCACAACGGATGGGGATGTTCCAGGAACGAGGAGATGCGCAAGGCTCACAATGGCTTATTCAGCATCCACAAACACTGAATAAAGAGACTCGAAAAAAGAAACACACACAACCACAAAAGCCAAGCCAGGAGAAGCACTGATTCGGGGAGTTTTAGAGAGATGAACATGACAACTCAATGGGTATGAAAGGCTGGACCCAGATGGCAGGAGGTAAGAAAAGATCATAGCAGTTACGATGCAGCATAGCTGTCAGTGATACAAGGACAGATCACGCCGCTGGTGTCAGGAAAATGGAAGAGGATCTTTTCATTGCTGTGGGAAGATCAAGGTATTAAAATTACATACGTACATACATCAAGAAGTGAAGACCAATTGCAGGACAGATACAGGAACCTTTAAGCAGCTCCTTTTAGGATTTTGTATATGACTTCAGAATGTCTGATCCAAGAAAGCCTGGCAAATGTTTAAGACCTTCTATAGTGCTTTGTGAAAAAAAAAAAAAATAGAAATGTTATGTGACTGAGAACACTTTCTGTGACTTCTGATATGTTTGAGGAAGGCCAGTGATGCCACTGGGGAATCTCATGGATGGAATGAAGGGCACAAGTTTTTTGTCCTAATCATCTTCGTACTTGATTGGGCTTAAACAATGAAAGGGTGCTTTTTCAAAACCATGTTTGGAAACAATTTGTTTTCAGCATCTTGGGCCTCATAAATCACTATTGTTTTGAAACCACTCAGGAGAGTGGAATATGTTACAAATTTACATACATATGGTCTGTACTTGAGTTAGAGGATAACAAAAGTGTCATGGGGCTAAACTAGTGTCGAAGAAAAAAAATCACAAAGAGCAGTCATTAGTTCTTTGCGGTTCTAGCACACTCCCAGAGGCTCAAAGGCCAACACAGGAGAAGGAAAAAAAATATATTTAAAAAATGTAACATACTCACTGCTTACAATATTAATGCTGCCTGTCTTTACTTCTACAAAAGGTTGTGTGTAAGAAGTTTGTAGTGTTCATTGAACATGACTGAAATAGCTGGGTGGTATTAGAGTATATAATCACTGTGTTTGAAATAGTACTTGAAAACAGCATATGCATCAGAATTTAAAGTATTTTGCTGGCCTTCCAGGGTCTTTTGCTAAACCTAGTGTGCATTGGAACCTGAGTGAATGAATCCCATTAGTCATCACCATCTTAACAATATGCACTTCATAGAGAGTTGGCTTCTGCACAGAGGAAGGAAATTACCAGTAGTAACAAAGGAAAGAAAATTTATAATGAGCAAGTATACAAAAGCTCCAAATAATTATAATATTCACAGATTGGCAATGACTTTCTAGGCTATGAAACTACTTTTCTTTTGGAAGAATGAAGATTCTACAAGGTTAGTATAAACAAAGGGTACTTGGAAAATCAAATTGCTCTACATAAGTTATTGTAAGGCCTGGAATAATGGTGATAGAATTAAAACAAAAACAAAACCAAAAAAACCACTTGCTTATGAATCAGTGGATTTTTGTTTTGTACATTATTGCAATCAAACATTCTCCCTTTCAAGTGGTACACGGGAAACAAATGGCTAAACACAAATCCCAGCTTACCCCTGATACAATGAGTTCTCCTCCCAGGTTCTGAACTTCTGCCTTCACTTTGCTGCAGATATTGAGCTGGTGGCAGTACAGGGCAATGCGCTGCAGGTAGGCCAGCAGGTCCTGCTTGCAGGCTGAGTCTGGGCACTGCAGACAACACAAATACTGATTAGATGGAGCTGAGTTCATGAGATTGGGAGCAGATAATCAGACAGTGGCAGTGTGTGTGTACTAAATTAAATCTGAAAACTCAAATTTGGCCTTTCCTTTAACTCAAGATTTATGAATTGCAACCTAAAGATGCACTCTACCTTTCTGAAAAATGAGAAACCACTTTATCAGCATTATGAAAATAATAATTTTAAATTCTGCTCTGCATTAATTTATGGAATTGTACTGAACAGCCAAAATGTCAGGTTTAACTTGAAACTCCAGGTTGCCTGCTGGACATCCAAGTTAACATCCAGTATGGACCAGTTAATGTCCAGATAAGCCCAGTTCTGAGTGGTTACCCCCACTCCAATGCCAACTCCTGTCTGCCTGGCAGCTCCCCTGGCATTTGTGCAGACATTCAGAGGATTAGATTAGGTCAAATGTGCTGGATGCTGTGAGGGTTTCATAATCAATAGAACTAGAAAGGGCCCCAGTACAATTTATTCATAGTCTCTGGGACTCTTAATAGAAACTGCATCATCCCTCACAATATCAACAGCATAACAAACAACAGCCTTGTAGTTAATATTCCAAGTCTTGCCTCGGGAGAGCAGACCTCAGTAATTCACACTGATGAAACAGAGCTGAAAGGGCCCACTGCTAACAGCATGTCTCCAATAAATTCTCTTTGGGGCTACCCAGCAAAGTCTGACTGACAACGTTCCTGCATAGCTTGGGGAACAAAGGTTCCAAATATGCCTTTTTATCACCTTACAGAGTTTATGCTCAATTAAAAAAAATATTATCAGAGCATTTCAGAAAAAAACTGATAGAATTAAATGCACATGAGTCAACAACATCACAGCTCCAACCTTGAGATCACTGCTCTGGCCCCAGCAGATAATGCTGGCAAAGAACGTGCTCATGGTGAAGTAGTTGGATATATTGCTGTCTAAAACCCCAAATGGAGTCACTTGGATTTTTTCTTGCCCTTTAAAACTAATAATAAACAAAGCTGGAGCTTCACTGTGCCTTCTATAGAGCCTCTCTTGCTCAGACAGTTGCCACACCTTTCAGGCATTAATCCCTAAAAGACCTCTTCTCCCTACTGATACCAATTTAATATAAAAATATTTACTCAGTTCTTGAAGTCTCTGAACTGAAAGGAATGAATTTAAAGCAATACTTCTGAAGAGTTGTTAAGGCTTTAAATATAAATACCTTGGAGTGAAAAAAAATGTAAGGGTTCTCTCATAGGAATAATAACTAAAAATACAACTCTCCACAAAAAATTTATATTGCATGAGGGTCTCCAGAGTTCTGTGAAATATCATTAAAGTGCAAGCATTAAGACAAATATTTAATTCTCAAAATAATTTTACTATTTATTATTGGGGTTACAGTCCTCTGAAATTTAAAATATGACTCAAGTCAAGGCACTCTAAGCATAACAAATCTCCTTCTGTTTCTTTCTTTAAAATATTCCACCTCTGCAAATACTGCAGACCAGGAATTTGATCAGCTGACAGATGGATTTCTTCTTTCTTGTTTTAAATTGAACAGATGCTACATTTGAAGGACTGGAATGGGTTAACTACAGGAAAAATGCTTGCTGCTGCTGAAGAAGACCTAAATCAAACATTTCTGAGGCTGCAGGAAAATAGAAGCTTTGGGGGTTTTGCCATTCTGGCCCATATTCCATGGCAGGATGTTTTACACACTGTCACACTCCTACTTGAACAAGAAAACAACATTCTTATTTTGAAGAGAAAGACTAGAGGCAAGGAAGCTACCAGTTCCCACTTCCAGCAAATTTTCTCTTGATGTCAATGAAATGAAAGAAACTATAGGAAATTTACAAAGGGAAAACCAGTGAAATTTAATTAATCTAAAATTAGCTATGGAGGACCTGGATTTGCAATTTGGCTCTTGCCTTTTAATACAACGCTTCCTCTTGCTCTCCAAATGAATAGATAAATCTGAAAATATATATACAGCAAGGTCATCTGTCCAGCTGTGACAAATTTGGTAAAGGAAGTGGGGACACAGACCCCACAACATGCACAAAAACAGAAAATAGGGAGTCAGAGAACCTGGAAGGAATAAAGAGCCAAATCGAGGGAAAATTGCTGGAAGAATAAGCTGAAAAGAATTTAAGCATTCCTAGGCATTTGGCAAGGGGAATGGAGCATCCAAATCCCTACTGCTTTTTTAATAGCAAATACATTTTGGATGTGATGATCTCACAGGTCTTTCCAGCCTGAAGGAGTCTCTGTCTAATTCTTTCAGGCCCAGAAGTGAGGATGGGGAACCAGTCAGGCATTTCTGAGCTCTGGAGAGACTAATTTATGACTTTCCTGCTCTGCAAAATGCTGATGGCTCTAGAAGAACAAATGGGAAGATCAGGATCCAGACTCTCAACAGGTAATTTTCTGGTAAGACAGACTTTTCCTGCAAAAGGCACCTCATCCATAGAGGTTACATTGTGTTTCAGCTCATTTTGGGGCTACCTGATCAGCTACTGCCCGTGCCAGTTTGTCCATCCTGGATCCTGCCTCTGCAATCTTCTTGGCTGCATTAATGACATCAGATGTGTTCTTCAGGGGCCCTTTCCCTCTGTGAAACACAAGACAGTTATCCACAATCTCAATAAATCATGAAAAGCAACAGTTTTAGTGACCCTGTTTAGTGCTCATTTTTAAAATAGTAACACAAATGTCTTCTTAATTTATTACAATTTTGCCTTTTAAGTACTTTGTAGTACAGCTTGATTAAGAAATCTTTCTGCTGTATTTCCTCTCCATTACAAAATGCCTCACTGGCAATTTAGTCCAATGGTGCCTTCAAGCACATGAGCTGTACTTAATAGTATATGCATTTTTAAGTGCTCATTAAGCCAATGCTGTTCCTGGAATACACAACTATTTCAAAATGATGTGATTCCCAAGCCAGTGCTAAATGTTCAGCCCATCACATCTAAGGCAAGAATGTCACGTTTTAGAATTTTTTTTTTGGAGATTTTTTGTTGGAAAATAAAGAGAGGTGAAGCATAATCATTATGTTACACACTTGAATGTTACATTTAAACCATGTATAATTAGCTTTAGGCCTGATCTTTCACCATATTTTTATGATGATGCACAAAATTCTGATTTTAGTCATTAAAGCTACCAAAATGTATTAATTCAGGAGGTCTCCACAGACTTCTGTGAGTTTTCATCAGACTCAAAACTTTAATCCTGCTTGTACCAATAAAAGTGCTGCTGCTTCTGAGAAAGTCTCAACTGGAAGTGAGTTTATTTTCCATTTCTTTAATGTAGAAAATGACAATATGATCAAACTTTTTTAAAATTAAAGAGAAGGCGTTTTTTCTAAGCACAGCACTGCATTATTTTTGGATTTTTTAAAAATCTATAATGGCAAGAATAACATGCTGAAACATATTTCCATTTTCATCTTCTTTCCAGACTTTCATTACCACTTTAAACAGATGAAATACAAGTATCCCATTTCTGGTGAACTTCAACTGCAGCAAGAATACTTCTTGGTGACCTCATGTGCTTCTACATTAATTACATGAGCAGCTCTGACTGTCACAAACTCCATGCATTTGAAAAATTATTCTATTCTAACACTGCTGAGGTTACATCCAACCAAAAAGGTGTGAAAGGCTTGTTTCTGTTTTAATGGAATATATTAAACAACTTGTTATTGAATCTGATGCAGATAGAGGTGCACTTTGATTTTTTTTTTATTTACTTCAAACGTGTCAGTAGTCTTTATCTCATTCTCAAATTAGTTTTGTTCTTTTATGCTAGAAAATACAATTAGAAAACTTCCAATTTCATGCTCAATATATCAAAGGTTGTCCAGGAGGTTGCAGAAACTGTGCATATTCTGGGCTGTTGCTTTAGAACATCATTTCTTCCTTCCATGATACAGTGACACTATTTTGGCAGATTTCACTCTATTTTTTGTTGACAGAAGGATCAGAGACACCAAGACAATACAAATACAAAAGTAACACAGAATTCTATAAAATATCTTCTCCATCCATTTCCACCCCTTGCCATTATCCAAGGTTGCTGCAAGCCCCAACCAACTGGCCTTGAACACTTTCAGGGATGGGGCAACACAAAGAGATGAACAAATGGATGTCTGATTTTAATGCTGAAAAAAAACCAGGAAGATTTTCATCCTGTTTTGCGTAATCACATTTTGATAAATACCATTTAAACTTTTGAACCCACTTAAAAAATAAACGCTGAACAAAATTTAATTTGCTACAGTGATCTGGAATTCAAAGAACCTTGTAAACCTTTCTCCCTGGTGTGATTAACAATATGACCATAGTAAAAGACAATAATTCTATTTACATTGTATCATTAATGAATGGCCTCTGCAATTAGAGAAGAATAAGACATCAATAAAGAAAAGAAATTAAAGCAAAAAAAAAAATCATTACTGACAGACTCCCATGAAGCATTAGATCAAACCTGTTTAATTTCATTTGGGATTTTTTTTTTGGAAGGAAGTTCAGTGTTCAAATGGTATAAATAGTTTTGCCATTATTTTTGATTGACACAAATTGTGCTGAAATGTTGAAAGTTCAGAGAGGCACATGCATTTAGATGGGTACTAAACAAAATGTCACTGGAGTGTCTGTAAGGTCACAGACTAACTTTACAAAATGATCTGCAAATAAAAGAGATTTGCAAATAGCACAAAAACTTCATGTGATTAATCCCACTTGGACAAATACCCAGGGCAGTGCTCCTTGGCTTTGCATCCCCAAAACCACAGCAAATCATCTCAAAAGAGTACAAATCAAGCAGAAAAGGGAAGATGTGGCCCATCTGAGCTCCTCACTGGGGTTATTTTGTCCTTACCTGGTGAAATCTGTCATTTCCATCATAATCATGCACATCTGCTTGGCCAGCACAATGATGTCATTGCCACTGTCATCCCACTTGGCCACCTCTGCATCCAGCTTGCTCTTTTCTTGGTGGAATATCTCCACCTGCTCAGCAATCTTTGCCTTCTCCTCCTGGGGCAGCTGGGCCATGATAGCCTGGAGAAAGAACAGGAGTTGGGCATGAAAGAAAGGAAGCTACAAACTGGATCTTTCCAGTGGTCCCAACAGCTTGAGTTAATTTTTATGGGAGTTGAAGATGCCAAGCAAAATCCTGTAGGCATTTGATTTCTGTCATGACAGGTAAAAGCACATTCACAGCGTGTTTATGCCTCTTCTTGAATTTTCAAGATGATGAAATTCATATTTATGATATCGTGATTATTCACCAGTTGACAAAGGAGGATTAAATCTCAATTATGAGGAAGAATAAAACAAGTGACATTTATGGAAAAGGCAGACTGAATTGCTGTGTCTCCCCTAGTCTCATCCTCTGTCAGAAACACAGGATTTCAGATTAACCCAACACTAAAATAAGCTATGACACAAAAGACAATACATTTGAAGTGAATTGTAACAAATGTATATTTTAATGATATTTAGTGTTCCAATTTTCTCTTGGAAGAGATGCAAAAAGGCACTGAACAGGTTGGTACTGATCTGCCTCAGCATGAAAAAGCACAAAGTTCTGCTCCCCTCCAAAAACACCCTAAAAAATTATAATAATTACTTTTGAAGATCAAATGGACACTTTGAAAAATGATTTCCAAGTTAAGCTATTATTTGGCTCTAGGGGTTCTGAAGATCACATTATGCATTTAATGGGGTGTGACACATATTTAAGTGTCATTACATTTTTTTCTTGTTTATGTCACTTTCAATCAGCTGAAGTCTTTTTCTACATATTCTTAAAATGCTCTTGGCTTTTAAAAATTTGTAATTGACCTTTTCCCAAACTGAAATTAAAAAGGGTCATAAACAGTAGATCAGAAAATGAGAAATTTGCAAGTTAATCAAATTAAAATTCAAGACGAGTTTTAATTAGGCCTTATCAATGTAACTCAGCAGTTTCAAATGTTAGCATAATAGTCTTTGCACAGAAAAAATGCAGTGTAAGTCAAGCTAATAAATAAATATATAAAATGCACATAAAACAACAGAACTGAGGAATTAACTGAAGTTAAGAGAATGTGATAGGAGTAGTGAAATTTGGGAAGTTTATCTCTATGTCTTGCCTGTGGTTTCTTCAAGAGGCTGCTTCACCTGAACACTCTTTAAGCTGGTAAAGAGTGCTTTAATAATTCTGTTCCAGCTGCTGATGTGCTTTCAAAGCAGCCATAACCTACAGCAAACGCAGCCTGTAAATTCCACTTTTATTTCTACTGAAGACCAACAGAAGTCTTTCTACTAAAACACTACCAGCCTGATGGAGTAAGCATATTAAACAAATCAATTACATTGCACAAATAAAAGTATTTTGCATTTTTTCCACAGAAAAGATTCAGATAAGATTCTATTCTGCCCAGCACTCCAGACTGAGGACTACCAGCTTCTGCTTAGCATTGTTTCCCTTTTAGGTTTTTATGATTTGTTGCTTCCTGTGCCACATTGCAATCTATGTAATTCAGGAACTGTCTTTATGATATATTATGTTTATACAGTGTGTAGCTGATCAAAGCAGAAGGATTTAAGCACAGCAGTAATAATAACCACAATAAATGTAGTAGAATTTAAGACTCCTAAATCCCCAGGTGAGCTCGATTCTTAGTAAGAAAAATTACTGCAGTCTTTACTTGGGTCTCAGATCAAGAAAGGATGACATGCTACCCAGTCCTAAATGTAACCAAAAAGATGAGAAAGGCTGTGAAATCTGACAAAAATCATCTGTACTGTATCTCATTTCTGTTATACCTGAGATTTGCTTTAGTAGTCAATATTTTGAATATCTCAAACAGGAGTTTAAGCCCTTTAAAATATAAAAATCACAAAAGATAGCCAACTACATCCAGAACAGTTCTGTCACCAGTCTCACAGTAAGGACTCCAGGTATTGTTTGCCTCAGAGATGTCATAATAAAACTCCAGTTTTTCTGATACATGGTATGGTTTATTTACCATCTATATTCAATATTCAGGGAAATAATTTTAAGATAAAGAGAAATCTCTCCCTGTTTCACTGGATCCATGCCTTGCATTTCTCCCACACCTCTGAGTAAGCTTCTTTCAGCTTTTGTTACTCCACTGTTTCTTTTCAGGGTGTAAAATCTTTGTGTCAAGCCCCAACCTACAGCAGCTGAAAACTCTGTCCTGGTGCTCTGAACTTTCACAGCATCTTTGCCTGCTGGTCTTTAGGTTCTCAGCCCTACAAATATTCCAGACTCCAAGGTAAGAAATCCCCATTCCAGTTACCAACTTTTGCTGGTGTTTGAGTGTGTGGGGAGGATGCTTCTTATTTAGTCCATACCTTCTCTTCTAGCACAACTGAACAAATCAGACTCATGTGAAACAGCCATGAAAATCATTCAGATAATTCCCAGCTTCCTGCTGGTTCTCTCCTGGAAAATGTTAAAATGCTTTTCTTTAAACAAAAAGAAAAAAAAAAAACCAAAAAAACCCCAAAAACTTTCTTTCCAGTCAAATATATTTTTATGGTGCATAAAATCATAACCTGATTTTTTTTTAATAATCTGAGCTGAGAAGACTATTCAGTAAAAGGTAAACATTCATCAGAGGGTGGCATAATCCCGAGTGTTAACAGGAATATTCCTGAGTGTTAACAGACTTCACTTCCCCAGCACCTGTGACCCCCGAAGCACTCATCAGCTTAATTTGCAATCCCCATGCACAAGCTGAGGTCGCAAATCACAGTGACTGGAGTTTATCATGATGTAATTACCCTGGTAAAATTACATTGACTCAGTAGCAAATGTCTTCAATTACAATTAAATTACAGGGACTACTCAGTAGCTTAAACAGATCTTCTTGACAGGTTTGCACACTGGGAAACATGACTAATGTAAGATTTCTCTGGATACAGCACATGGTGTGCTGATGGGATTTTTTTTTTTTTACATTTGCTGACTACTCCCACAGTTTCAGCACATTCCAAACCTGCAAAGCCTCCTCTTACAGCACTAGCTGGAGCAAGCAGCTGATAGTAGGCACCAGAAAAGCCTCAAGACCATTCAATAAATGCTACTCAAATAGGTTTGACATGAAAAAAAACCTTCAACAGCTCTGTCAGCCTGGTCCCATCCTTTCTTGAACAACCCTGAGGACTGGAAATCACTGCCTTTGCTTCCTGAGGCAGAGATTTATTGGTCACTGCTGGACACTCACTGGAGGCGTGTGGGGTTTGTACTCACCCTTGCACTCTGGCCAGCAATGAGCTGGTCATCCTCAGTCTGGACACTCGTTCGGCTGCGCACGTCGTAATCCTCCTGCTCGAAGTCCGAGTCGTCCTCGAGCTCCTCAGGGGTCTGGAGAGAGACACACAAAAGCCACAGAGAGGAGATGACGAGCTTAAAAAGGACACAGACCAAGTCCTCTGCACAGTGAGCTCTTATTTCATTGACTTCCAGCCCAGGAAATGCTGCTCCGTTCTCCTCTGAAATGAATTTGTCTGCCCCAGCAGTCAGGAGCTGAAATTGAATTGTCTTAAAAATTAAATTGTTTCAACCCTAGTTTTCTTTACAAATGGCATTTGTCATTACCTTGCCACAACTTTTCTTGCTGCAATTTCTCTTAACTCTGTTAATATGATGAATGCAGTTCCAGGAACAAATATCCTTTGGAAACACTAACAACTGGAATGCAGTATTTCAAAATAATGTTATTTCATATATAAATGGACACTAACACTATTATGTTACTGGAAAATATATGTAATCTTCAAAAGAGAAAATAAATACCTGGGAAAAAGCAACTAACATCCTGGAAGAAAAATTTATCAAAGCAAATAAAAGATTTCCCATTGAAAGAAATTGTAAATTATGTCAACTGGCTTTGAAACAAACATGAAATTCATAATCTGTGTAATCTTGTTAGTTCACATGGTCCTTTTCATACAGAGCTTTGGAATTTAAATCATCCCCCAGCTGAGACCATGATGTCTCCACTGCTGACGCTACACATGATGGAAGGGTTTCTTGGAAGATTGATTAATCTTACATATTAAGTTACATATTTTCAGGCTTCAGATTGTTTAAAATATTGGAAGGAGGGAGAAAAAAAATAATTGATGGATCTGTTCATTTGGGATTTTTCACCTTCCAGCAAAAAGTTCTGAGAAAAAAATGTCCTTATTTGTATACAGAGAGACAGCCTTAAAATCAGTATTTAGTATGATATTTAATATAGATGATGCAAAAAAGTGGAATCTTTAGAAAGACAATTATATTCCATTTAATGGTTGAATAGCATCTGGTACAACAGCCTGAGTAAGTTCTGTGGGTACCAAGCATGACAAAGGTAACAGGAAAAGAAAACCACAGTAACTGCAGAGAAATCCTCACCTTCCTGGACACCCATCACCCCCAGTGACAGCCTGGAAGACCAAAGAACTACAGAAGAAATCATCCAGGCTGGCATTTGGTGCTTGGAGGCAACGTCAAGTTTCCTAGCAGAGGTGCTAATCACTGCCAGTTGTCATTACAGCTCTGTCTGGGGGATGCTCAGTCACCAGGAACGGCTCCAAACCCTCTAACGTAACGCAGAGTCTTCTGGTGATATTTCTGTTCCAGCCTGGCTTCCAACACCAAGTGCACATCCCTGTTTGTAGCTGCACAGTGAAGTGCACAGGATGGGGAGAGTAAAACACAGCCATCTTCGTGTGACTTGGAGAGTATGAATTAAATGTGTGCTTTGGTGCTGAGCTGGAGGAAGAAATAACCAAGTGTGACAGTGTGGTAATGAAACTCGGTCTGCACCTCTGAAGAGAGGCATGTGTGAAGAGAGTGTGTGTAACAGGCCAGGCAGGAGAGGAAGTTCAGATGAAAAATGAATTTACCTTCTCTCTACTGTCACAGGTAAAACAGAAGGGTTGGTACCCATCCAATGGTCTTGTTTTCCAATCACCTCTAATCTCTTTGTTTCCTCTGCTCAGCTGCCCAAGGGCAGGATGGGACCTTAAAATGTGTCATAAACAAGGAAGCTACAAGGAGAATCCCACAATTCCCTGAGCAAAGAGCGTTTTCTATCACAAGGCTCAGCTTTTCAACTGCCTAGACGTTGCTGTTTAGAACAAGAACAGGGTGGAGAGCTTCAATAAACCAGCTGGCTCTTCCCCATCCTCCAAGTCCACTCAACGAGCCAGTTTCAGTGGTCATTGTAAAGCCAGTACCCTTTCACACCCCAAATATACTCCTCCTTGTTTCTTCTGTCTCCACTTTTATAAATAAGAGTATAAAACATAATGTGCAGTCCTTTCCAAGGTTTTCATAGTTGAAGCAAAGATGTAATATTCAAAATATTACATCTTGACATGGTAACCAGTAAGGACATGAGGCTGCCTTTCAAAACCAAAAAAATATTCTTAAAATTCTATGCAAGGACTTATTCTTGAAGAAATATCCAGGAAAAAATGCATTACTGTTACTGTCTGGCATTCATGATCTTGAAATCTGTGGCCTTTAAAAGACTGAAATTTAATGGGTATAAATGTTGAACTTGGAGAAAATGTAGTACAAACCAAAAGGGCAAGTAATGCAACTGTTAGCAATATACTACAAGCACAAGACATCTTCCTATTTCCCCTCTGTACAAGTGAGATCTAATTCAAAGTGATCTTTCAGATTCACTCTTTTCATGTTTTCAAGTGTGGTGAATTTTACACTCTTATTTTCTTCCCCAAACAGCTGCATTTTGCATTAGGGTTAAGAAGTGGGATTAACTTTTATCTGTTTGCTGCCATTTCAAACATTTTCACGTTTGTCTCAGCTGATCCCCTGGAGATGCAGCCCATATAAAACAGAGTCTCCCTTCTGTTTAGACATAAAGGTACAAAAAAAAAATTATATTGAATTTGACTTAAAGGACTACTCTTAGCAAGGCCTTCTAAATACACCAGAATGACTCTAATTTCTGAGCACAACTAACAGGATCTTGATATTTAAAACCTTGTTTCCAAGACAACAGAGTCAGAGACTTCATTTCTCTGAGCTGGAAGATGGAAAGACTGATTCTGTCTTGCAGACACCTGGATTTATGGTTACACAAACATAGGAATTACAGATCTGAGGTTGGAGACATCTTCCAAACAGAGCTGACAGCCACCAGTGGCAGAGGAAGCTCAAGTAATATTCAAAACTAATGAATTTCATGCACTGATTGATTTCAGCAGAAAAATGGACCATTTCCATAATTTTTAATCTGTTTTATAGCACAAGCCATGAGTTCCCAAGATTTTTTTTTTCAAATACAGTATCTCTACCATACACAACATTCATCTAACTTGGAGGAAGTCTTCCAGTGAAGAAGAATTTTCACAATCTCAGATAAATCACAAAATAAATATATGCTTTCTCTTTAAAGATGCATGTTTTATTTCTAATATGAATGTGGTGAATTTCAACTTCCAGGCATTGGAATATATATATATATATTTAATATCTCTCTGGCTGTTTGATTGGAAGAGCTTGCTGTGAACAAAATGTCTTCCATCTATGTCATTTTTTTAATGTTTTGTGACTGCATTATGAAAATGTGAATTATACAAGTATAAGCAATAAAATGGCATATATATGCAGATTTATAAATGCTATTTGTTTCATATTTCACCAACTCAAATGTACTTGATGAAGATAGAAACCCCACTTTGCTATGCACTTAAAAATTGTAAGATGCAATTACAAGAATTTCAGCACTGTGAACACCAAGTCAAGCTGACCTTGTAATGAGAGCAGAGACTGAAGAGATGAAAAGATACTCCCCTATTTTTTACAATGAAAGGCCTGTAATTGTAGAAGACGAGGAGAAAAAACCCCAGACTTTACAACTTGCTTTTAAATCCAACTCCATGCTATTCTGTACATTTGTTTTGGTACCACTGCAGCCTGAGTGACTCAGCTGCAAGCAGCACCTGAGAGCCTCAATCAGAGACACTCTCTCACTACAGGTCTTCAGTTGTTTGGTGATTTACAGTAAAATCTAACACTTCAAATTCAATCTGAGGAGCAGCAGGCACTCAATGGAAACACTGGACCCCATGACACCCTTTGGAGACAGGATGTTTCAAAAGATGATGGGATTCTGCATCAAATCTGGTTTTACAGAGGACCTGAAATGTTGCAGCACTTTGGATTTCACCCCCACCCCAGTGGCTGCCCCAGAGGTGATGGTGGCTAAACCTCACAAGTCAGGCAGAGGAGAAGAGCTTTAATACACCCAAACAGTTGGGGCTGAGGACCCCAAAGTCATTTTTGCTGAGGTCTTCTCCCAAGGAGAAGAAAAATCCCTTAATGATAGAATAGAATAGAAATGGAGTTAACAATAGAATGAAATGTCCTGAATTGGAAGGAGCTCACAAGGACCATCAAAATCCAGCTCCTGGTCCTGCACAGGACATCCCCAAGAGTCACAACTTGTTCCTGAAAGCATTATCCAAATGCTTCCTGAATTCTGTCAGGCTTGGTGTGAGAGACTGAAACGATTAATGGCTTAAACACTGCTAAAAAAGGCCTTTGCCATTATGGCAAAATTGTATAAAGAAGCTGTGAGCACCAAAGCCCCATTCAAATGTGCCTCCTAAGGGGAACTGGGCCTTGAGTTAAGCCACCTGATGGGAATTTGAGCAAAGGTAAAGGTGGTACTATTGTCCAGGTCTAAAGAGAGGTGTAGGGAGAGCTAAACAAAGCTGGGGGAGCAGAATCAGTGTGGTGTGATGGGGGGGAAGAGAGATTTTGGGTGTGTGACACAGGGAGTGAAGACCCACCTTATTGGGCAACCCCAATGTAGGTAACAATGTGCTCTGACTCCATGATTCAGAAGGCTGAACAAATGTTTTATTAAGCTATACTATACCATATTAATACTAATACTATATTAACACTAATACTATATTAAAACTATAGTAAAGAGATACTATACTAAAGAAAAACCTGTGACCCTTACCAGACAGTCACAACACAGCTTTGACCTAACTGACCAATCAATCCAAACAACCATCACCAGAGTCCAATTAACAAATCACTCTTGGTAAGCAATCTCCATAATACATTCCACATGTGCCAAACAACAGGAGCAGCAAGTAAAGAAAAGAATTGTTTTCTTTTCTCTGAACTTCTCACTGTCTTCCCCAGGAAAAATCCTGGGAGAGAGAATTATGTCTCTCTGTGTTCAGAGAATGTGAATACCACACCACCCTGCCTTACTCAAACTGACTCAGTTGTAAAACCCACCCACCCCGGGGCAGCCACATCTACAGGACATTCACATGAGGGGCAGCAGGGGAGGGGTCAAAAACCATCAGAAAACCATCAAAGAGCCCCAAAACACTCCCAGACTCATTGCTGAGGCCCTGCAGCAGAGAACTGCACGTGATACAAAGTGATGCCACAGATCCAGTCTGCTGTAACAGAGAGCTTCAAACTTGTCCCCCCAGGGGAGGCACGAGGGCCAAACATACATTACACATTAATCTGTGTTTTGTGGGACCCTCACCACTGAGAAGACCAGAAAAAGAGGATCAATGAGATGCTGTCAGGATCCACAGAGTGGTGATATTTTCTGCTTAATCTGTCATTCTTTTTCTCTCCCATCCTGCCCCTCTTTTTCCTTCTCTCTCTCTCTACCTCACACTAGAGTTAAATAAAGTCCATATGATCAGCTTCAGCATATGGTCTTGTTTGCACCTTAACATAGGCAGAGGCATCTCTCTAACAATCTTAATAACCAGATCTTAACACCTGGTGCTGTGACCACTTCCCTGGAGACCCTGTTGCAGTGCCCAACCACCCTCTGGGTGAAGAACCTTTTCCTAATATCCAGCCTAAACCTCTCCTGACACAGCTCCAGCCATTCCCTCGTGTCCTAAGGTGCACCCAGAGAGCATCTCCAGGCATCCCCGCGAAAGACTCAAGTTTACAGATGTTTAAAGTTTACTCTGTAACATGGCATGGACATTGGCTCCTACAGTGCACTCCTGATCCCAACAAATGTAACACTCAGGTTGAGCTAGATGCCTCTAAAGAAGAGGTTGCTAATGGCAAAGGCCATGTTTAAAAACAGTAAATAGCAGTTAAGTGGCCCTGGAGATGCATAAGAATGAGAAAAGATGCCATTGTGAGTCCTCCAGACTGTAGAGAGGGTTTCTGGCCAATAACTGAGGGAATTTCATAAGCAGCTGTGAAAACACAAAGTGCAATTTCATCTTTACACCATAATAGGAAAGGTGTTGGAATGAAGTAATTATTTTCTATTTTATTTCTAGGTTTTATAATTATACTCTTAAATTCATTTTTACTACTTCTTAACTTGTGGAAGAGAGTTTTGTTTTTTTTTTTTTTTCTGTATAGATAATAATAATTGTCCTCAATGAAAAAAATGAGTCTCCTTTCTCCTCCAGAGGGGCAATGAATTCTCTCCTTTTGAGGGAAAAAGAAGACCAGAGACTATCCACCCTTTCTTTCAGCTTACTAAAAGTAATAATACCAACCAAAATTAATTTTAAAAGTGGCTTTATTTACTCTCTGGAATGAGGGGACTCATCTCAGATAAATTCAATCTTTCACAGCTTGCACACAATCACTGCCTGAAAATAATTGTGTCAGATGTTCTAAAAAGTTTGCAAGGTTGGATTTTTTCATTTTTTGCAATTCTGAAAAGGTTTTACCACCTGAATTAAAGGATGCATAATATTTGACAGATTATAAGATTAAAATATTTCAAAGGCTTTTATAGTCTCACCCTTTAATTATACATCCCATTTCAGTGTGAGATGTTCAGATGGAAATGTTAAAGAGTATCTCAAAGTGAAACTAATTTTGTTTTCCACAGCAAATAAGGTTCTGATTCAGCAAACTCTGGTCTTTGTAAGCTTTTATATGTGGATTTTTCCAGTTAACTCACATGGATAATGAGCCCATTTATGTGCTTTAGTTCTTTGCCTGGGTAAGGAGTATTACATTGAGCTCCATAAATAAGTTAATTGTCTGAAGGCAAAAATAAATCTTCCTAATCTGGGCAAAGATAATTCATTACCTCATATCAAACAATGGGTGGAAAGTGGTAGTGATATAATGGCAAAAGTAACTTGGGATTTTCCTAAGGAGACTGAGAAGCCTGAATGCCAATCAGCTCTCCAGGTACACAGAACAGTCAGGCAATGACAAAGGGAGTGATCAGGTCTTCAAAATTCAAAATTTAAATTTAAAAACATCTCACCAGGATAGACATCTCATGGCAAACTCTTGGGGATAACTCTGTTGTATAGAGGGTTGCTAGAAGATGGAACTCTGTGTAGGGGATTGGAAAACCTGGGTTTGTAGGAGATCCCATCTGATGACTGAGTCTGTGCCACAATCACATTTTGAAATGACTAGAAAAGATTAAAGTGTGCTAAGCAGCTGTTCTTGTCATAAGAAAAGTGAAACTTTTTTTGGAAACTGTTGTTACCGACTAAGGAACTGGAAAATCACAGGGAGAACTGAGATCCTTCACTATGCAGATCTTTCATTTCCCAGAATCATAGAATGCTGGAATGGTTTGGGTTGGAAGGGACCTTAAAGCTCACCCAGTCCCACCCTCTGCCATGGGCAGGAACAACTTCCACCAGCCCAGGGTGCTCCAAGCCCCATCCAGCCTGGCCTTGGACACTTCCAGGGATCCAGGGCCAGCAACAGCTTCTCTGGGCAAATTGTCCCAGGCCCCTACCACTCTCACAGGGAAGTAATTAAAGTAAAGATTTCCCTCTCCTTCCAGGAGAGCTGCCAATCCTCTAACACTGCACTCCCAGAGAACAGGATGGGTTTGCCCCCACCACAAGCCATGACTATAATTCAGGCCACCTGGGATGAGCACTGGGCATGAGAATGGAATTTATGTTTGGCAGTTATGAAATTAAGCCTGTCAAAAGCTTTTTCTGTAAATGTTAATACATAGTGACAGATGACTAAAATGGAGCTATTTTGGAGTGTTCCAACTGCCTGAGTCTTACATCAGTGCCATAATACACTCACAACCACAAGTGCACACTACCTGTTTGCTCAAAGGGATCAGTTGATGTTTCAGCCCTGTTATTTGCCTCAATATTTTCTCTGTGATTTTCTCCATCGCTTTACTTGTACCTGGCTTTCATTAGGGCAGATTCAAGGTAATCTGGGTTTCAAATAACACTTTCAGTTGCTGAAGAGATGTCCAAACCAGGTTTGGTTTGCTGTTTTTCTTTTTTAAATCTTTGTCTGCTGACTAAAGTGAAAAGCAACACACACCTACTATCACAATAATGATGTTCTGTGGTGTCTTTTATTTGTTTGTTTATTTTATTAAAAGTTGTCTAAGCAAATTGAATCAACTGGTTAGTCAACACTGAAATGACACGTTTTTTACCTCGGTAAACATTCAAGACCATCCCTGCAGCAGCTCACTGGAGCAGCAAGATAATTTATTCATTTAGATTTTTACCAGACCTACCTCACATCCCAGGCAGCACACATACATTGGGAAAAAAACTCAAATAAACAAAAAATCTACACAAACTTTGAAGAGCTTGGCAAATTAATGCTATTACCATGGAAACAGTAATGAAGTTTGAATCTATTGGCAGCTGTGATCAAAACTTCTAGCTGATTAACACACAAATTGTGATTCATCCACTAAATAAGCTCATCTCTTTATTTACTAATTCTTTTGTTTCAATGTCAATCTTTTGTGCCTTATTACAACACGAGGCTGATTCCAAGGAGCTTTTGCATTCCTCTTATCCATGACACCTCCCTGTAAACCCCAACTTTTCCATCCCCAGGTGCTTTACATACCCTGATCATCAGGACAGCTTTCCTGATGTCCCGGACTCCGTCGTAGACCAGGCGGGAGGCGTCGATGAACTCGTTCTCCTCGAAGGGCTGGGGCACGTTGGCACTCAGGGCTTCAATGGCCACCTCCACTTGCTCAGCAAAACGTGGCATCACTGGGTTAAACACAAGGAGAGGCAGCAGGATTAGATTTGTGTTCTCTCCTGAACACTTTTCTGCTGCTCTGGGGCATGGATGGTTTCCAGGAGGCACGGCACACACTGCCCTGGAAATTCCCAGGCACAGGGAGGCTCATGGATGGGTTTGTACCCACCCTGCCCGTGGACAGCTCTGGCACTTTATCTAATAGCAGGGAAATAACCATCCTTATATTCTCTCCTCCAGCTGTGCAACAAAGAATAGAAAACTTCCTTCCAAAACTGATTTACTAACTTCTAAAAGGCTGCAAGATACCTGAGCAGTTAGTAAAGTTAGTTTAAGAGCTTTACAACCTGTAATGAGCACAGCAAATATTTGTATCAAGTGATCAAAGCCAACTGTAGCCATTATGCCTGCTAATTTACATAATTTACAATCTTGCTCATACTAAATAATAATTTTATAAGGGACAAAATGCAAAATCAAGGATATACTTTTGTGAAGACACCTAAATGAATCTTCTGTTTCTTCACTATCACCATGTTTATAACACAAGACAGCCATAGATATTGGCTAAAAATATTATAAACTGTGGTATGAACTTATTCAATATGAAAATTAAAGCCATTGTTTACTTTTGTAAATGGTTTCAGAGCATTGCTTGAAGCAGCAAGAGACTTTTCTTTAAATTTTGTGGAGGATTCCTTTGAAGGTATAATCACCTTCTGCACATCGTGTTTGCAGGAAAATAACTCTTCCCCAAATCAGTCCTTTAACAACTGAAACCAAAATCCTACAAACATGAACATCAGGTCACACTGATTATACTGCACCTACATTCCTGTACTTGTTTATTCCTCTTCAAAATTTTAACATTAATATTGGAGGACAAACATAATCAATGTTTTATTAGAAACCTGGATAAACAGATGCAGTTGGATTAATTTTTAAGAATTTGAGGAACTAGGGTCAAGTTTAAGATTTATAGATAGCCATCTTTTCATCATATTCACATCACTTTTATTCTAGCATTTAGGTATTCAGATCATGTATCACAGACTTTACTATTTTGGCAATATAATTAGAAGAACAGGAAATGATTATTCCCACAACAGTTATTGCCTATTTTTTGTTGTTAAAATATTACCCTTTTTTGCCCATCTTTTCCTTAAACTCTATTTTTAATACACTTATTGGTAAACTGAACCCAACTGATGAATACAAAAGGGAATTTCCAGTGTTTTTTCTCATCAAGAGCAGTGACATTCTTTCCCAGGAAGTTCTACTGTGATAGGAAATAGCATTTTCTTCCTGACTAAATGTTCTTACATTTATTTTACAGTATCTGCCTTAAAGTAAAACGACAAAACCCCATGATTTAAGAATAGTTTACATTTTGAAGAAGTGGCAGCAACCATGAACTCAAACTTTCTGTTTCTGGCATTTAAATATTACACATTGGATGCAAATGACGAAACCTTTAAAGGGATATAGTGACTCAAATCTAGTTTATACATCACTATATATATATATATATATGTTCATATAGACAGATGAAAGAACAGATTTGTATTTTCCATGCAGATAACGTTCAGTAAGTTCCTGGGATACACTGAAGAAACAGGAAAAAGTGACAGCAACAATAGATTTTTAAAAAGCAAACATTAACAAAACATTGCCAGGCAGAGGGGAAACATTTTAATTAGAAAAGGAGTTTAAGAGAGATGAAAGTTTTGGAAAGAATATTTAATAAATGCATATATCAAATTGCCTTAATTAATAGAACACTTGAAAGTGTTGTAGGAGACTAATATGATTGCATAAGGAAGTCTCAAGACTGAATATCAAAAAGCAATCATTAAAAATACAATCTAAACAAGTAAACCTAAAGAATAAAAGATAAATTATTTTGGGTTGTTGGGATAAAACAATCTCTAATACTAGAGATGCGATAATGACAACAATAAATAAAAAAAAAGGAGGTAAAGAACCCTAATATTTAGGGTTAAATTAAATTTAACCTTAAATTTCTGTCTAAAATTTCTTAACTAGCAGAGGTGGTCAGGTATTTGATATCATTAATAGTAGGTGCAACAGGCCTGAATTAGGAATGGGCAGTTTGAAGAACATCTACATAAGTAAATTTATCTTTTACATATGTGTTCATGTTAACAGAGTATAGTAAAATTTACACTATAGTTTAAAAAAAAATTAAAACAATTTCTGAACCATTTTTGGGGAACTCAAGAAAAACACTAACGGTGAAAATTCCAGGGATTTGAAAAAAAACAAAAAAAAAAAAGGAAGCACTTGTCTATTTTAGATAAAGGTGAATTGTTGTGGTTCATTTTGCGGGGGGCACCTCGGGATGTCCAAGGTTCTTGTAAAGGTAGAGAAGAAAGAAAGGAAGATTTATACTATATTCAATATAGTTTCAGTACCCAGAAATAAAATCAAACTTGACATGGAGCAATTAACATTTAATTATCTGTAAATAATCAGCAGATGCTGGACAGGCAGCAGATTTGTGGCAATAAGCTGCACCAAGCTTTTACAATATTTCCCCTGACAGGGCAGTGATGGGGGGAAAGCAGATATGACACAGCTGGATTTGTCATGGCCACATGTGACATTCTTAGAAGAAAACAAGGGAAATTTAAATTAAATGGTTGTAAGGTGGAAAGTTACACTTTATTCATATTCCTGAACACGAGGTATTCATTCCTGACCACATTTATTACCTCCACTGGGTGTGGAAGCTTCTCTGACCAGTTCTGATTTTGCAGACCTGACTATAATTTAGTCCCTAATGTAAAATATGACACATAAACACTATCTGCTCTTTCAAAATGGGAATAGATATGAAACTGCTTTATGATTGCTTGCTTGCCAATCGTATTTTTACATCAGTGCTCACTTTTGATTAGACAAGCAAGAAGAAAAACACCTTTAATAGGGGGCTATTACTTACTGCTTCTCTAAGCATATGTTGTCATTTAATGCAGTAAAGTTTTTGAAAATAGAAAATTGAGTCGAGAAATGTATTATCCTCCAGTTAATTTTATTGAGCTCCATGAAAAAAAAAACCTCCAGTCTTTCTTCTCCATTATTTACCACACAAAGAAGGATATTCCTGTGCCAAAGGTGAAAGAACCACAAGTAAAATTCAGGCAAAGGCATGCATTTGAATCTGGAGTTAAAACTTGCAAATATATCAGACAGAGAATGATTCATTTATTATGCACAGAGAAATTGGCTATAAATTTTAGATTCAGAAGCAAATCAATACTTCTGGGGGAAAATTAAACATTGGTTTCTTCGTTTGAGCTGTGGCCTTGAAAACAGTCACACATATGCTTAGACTGAAAAATGTGGTCCATTAAAATCTCTCAGCCTAACTACATGAATTAATTAGGCACCTGCATAAATGTTGACAGAATCAGGTCCCAAGTTAATAGCAACACTTCTAATTCATTGACTTTGTCATTCCAACAAAATAAAGATTTGAAAGCCTTTCTGTGGATGAGTTTCCAATGGCACAGAAAGCAAGACCAATGCCAACAAAATCTAGGTTGAACGGCTGCTGGAGAAAAATCTGGAATCAGAAAAGTTGAAATTAGTTCAATTTTATCAACTGATTAATTCTTTTGAATTATACCTTTTTTTTTTTTTTTTTTTTTTGGCTGATGCATAATAGACATCCAGCATATCACCATGTGTGAATTCATGCCTTGATCAAACTTGCATTTTTTTGTGAACCCCTCTGTTCCACAAAGAAAATATTTCCTCTAAAGCTCTTCTTGTTTTTCTCCCACCCACCTATATCTCCTACATTTTAAAGTTATCAAGTAATTATCTGTTTCCTAAAAATATATTTCCTGTTGACTTTTTCTCCCATGGCAATCAGTTTGTGCATGAGTTTAGCACTTAGAAACATCACTGCAAATTTTGTTTAGTGATATGGGAACAATAAGATCCCTGATAGACAGAGAAATGCTAGGTTACATAATAAAATTATTGAGATAGAAATTAAAAAAATGTTTGGGCGTTCTTGTTCGTAGCATTAGAACAAAAAGTTTCATTAACATGCAAGATTAAATTAATGCCTTGCTGATTTATTGTGCTTTTATGGCCTTATTATTTAGGAACTTGAATTCCTCAGAATCTTAAGTAGATGTGAATGTTCAGAAATGTGGAAAGGGATAATTAAGACACAAAAAAAGCAATAAAGGTCAAGGACCCTTCAGGTGCATGGGTTTCTAATTCTTAGTAGCATCAATGGGAGTGAGGAAATTTATCTGGTTTTGTCTCACATCATACAACTGAAAGTTTTAAATCTTTCCTTATACCAGGCAGAGGACACTAGATGCTTCCATGAGACAGTTAATCACACCTACCCTACGCTAAAGACTCAGGTTCAGCTGGATAAAATTCTGATTTTCCTCTGCCCACTGAACAGAGAGGGAGGAGTTTGGCTTAGACCACATGTCTGCTTCAGAGAGCCAAGTTTAGGCACCAATCAACCCCATTTGCACCAAATCCTGGCACGCTTTTGGCTCTGAATCAGGCTGAGCACAAGGTGGCTCCTTTCCATCCCAATCTCACTGGAACTGAAGGGTTCCCAGGGGTCTCATCTTTGGGGCATTTTTCTGGCCAGAAGACAATTTTTGAAAGGCACCAGCAGAACTATTTCTTAGAGCTTCATTTTGAAAAGACGAGCACCTACTGGACTCTTTTTATAATCCAGGAACTTGGATCCAAGGGATCCTTCTCAAAGACCAGGAGTTGTTCCCTAGAGCCAGATTGTCCTCAGACAAATCAGATATTTGAGCAGCAGAGAAGTGACTGCTCTCCTGTACCCACTGCACTCAGCTGTGCCTTCTGGCTGGCCCCCATACATCTGTATTTGTTTAAGCATTTGTATCCATCCTTAAGAAAAATGATCTTCCCTATGCCATGTTGATAGAGACACATCATTTAAGGTGCCAATCACCTTATGTAGCCCCTAAATGGCTAT